TAAGCACTGAATATTGAAAGCTGAAATGCTATCATCTCATATCTTGGTTGTTAACCGGTACCGTTTCAACTAAACTGGTCTTCATATAAGAGCCTGAGAGCAGGTCCTCATTCTGAGCGCTTCGGGACAAGTGTTTCTTCGCTGGCGAAAAGGTATGAGGCCTTGGGCAACGTGAGCCGGCGGGAGTTCTGCATAGGGTCTAGCTCTAGTGCCAGATTCCGGTCTAACCTCTCCCGACCCGTCTCCAATCTTCCCGCGGGCGGAGAAAACCGTGTCCTGCAGTGCCAATAGTGAGGCCTGGTCGCAGCCTTGCCGCAATACGGCTGAGACAACCTCGCTTTTTCCTTTGATGAAGCATCGGTAACCATTTCATCGCAGCACAAGGTATACAGAGCGTTCTCATCAAAGGCGAAGTCACGCAAATATTAAAAGCTTTTGCGCAGCTATAACAAGTTTAGCGCAACGATAGCAAGTCTGTGCTATTCACGATAAAATGAAATAAATCATATTTTGACCTGTGGATTATTCACATATGAAGAGATGATCCGCATACGGGAACTGAAAATTGTAGAGAAGAAACCTGAAAGAATTCAGGCTTCGACGCGATTGGAACCTGTGCCTCTCAGAAAACCAACGAAGCCACGTGTTGGGAGCGGAGTAAATTTTCTCACCTGCGAGGATATTTTCAAGTGATTATGCATCTAAGTTTTACCAAAGCATACGAAGTCAGAGAGAAATATCACTATATCATACCCTGAATCGTCAACATTTAAAAGCTTGCTTCTCAGCTCATTTCTGGTGGATATATCGATTGCGTCTCGCGGAGAAATGGGCGCTTTCGATCTTAGCTTCACTGGAGGTCTGTCAACAGGTACAGCCACGTACACAGGTGACTGGCGACCGGTCTTTAAAAAAGAATTGCTGCTCGTAAAGCGAGATGTGTCCATGGAAGAGGGACTGGGTTTCGCGCTTGGGGTCTAATCAAAAGAAAAAGACAGTCAATACGGACTTAATACTATGTACTTATTGACTAACTGGGAGGGCCGGATGGGAAAATATTTGGCTCGAGGTCATGACTTCCAAACCACGCTACGCTCAGTCCGTGCCTCGTGACCGAGAGCCACATATTTTCCCATCCAGGTCAATAAGCATTTTATCATATGACCACTACGTGTTGAAAATTTCAAACGAAATAGGACGCGATAGAAGGGCGTATAAAAAAAGTTCCGGAATTACAGTTGTATAACTTTTAGAAAAAGGAACTTGCGATTCCTTGGAAAACACGACTTTTTTTCCTCATTTCTGTTTTCCTTTAAGTTTTTGCAACAAATTAAAGCGACGTGAGGGCAGCAGGGCCGGACGGCTTTTTCTAGACAGGCTCAGGTCAACCCGTCGGCCCTGCACACGTCAGCTTGTGCTATGGTTTACTACGTGATTGCGCGAGCGGCACCGGACGGGTCACATGATAATAAGCCCTCATGAAGTAAACGATTAACTCTTGATGCCAAAAGAGTGTTACGCTCTAGGGGAGGTAACAGTCCTAAACAAACGAAAAAGAAGCACGAGTACTAACCAAACCAGTAAGATTTCTGCTATTTTTTCCGTTGCCCGTGTATTTCTTCATGACCTTGGACCCCACTAATTGCGTGGGTTGCGCATAAATCTCCGGTGTAGTAAACTGAGTAGTCGCTGGCAGTCGAGGAGACTGGTAACCAGTTGCAGTGGATGTAACAGTTGGTGGCTCGAGTTGTTGAACTGAATCAAAGTAAACAAACAGGGATGATTTATTCTTTGCCATCTAGTAAACTAATGGTACTAAACAGAAGCTGTTTCGTTTTATAATGAGGATATAGTGAACAGAATCACCAGATACCTTCACGTTTCTTAAGTACGCGTGGCGTTCCTTCCTCCGTTTGTTGCCAGCTTGTTCCTTCAGTATCTGCCACAGACAGAGCTTTGTTTTTCGTGGATTGCTTCTGGCTGAGTTTTTTCGTTTTCCTTTCTTCCAATGAAATCTGAGACAACGACTTTCTCGATTCTTGTTCTTTCACGGGTTTCGGTTCGTACAAACGCGCCTTGAAAATAATACGACAGCAGATAAATTAACGCTTCCCCCATTTCCTTCGTAAGTTTCGTAAAAACATCTTAGTTCTTTTTCAGAAACCAATATAAACATGCATTACTTTAAACACTCCACTCGGAAAATTACTATCGGATATCTTCGACTAAAAAGCGGGTAGAAATGAAAGACGCAACGATGCATGGCCGAGATAAATATGCTGTACCACTAAAAGAATTGTCACTTCCCAGGTAAAACAAATTTCTTGCTCTTCACCAAAAAAAATCAGGTTATACCGTCCTGATACAACAAAACCTCTCGTTATTCCCTGAGCCCCCAAATTTCCCTGCCCTGTCTTTTTTTTTTGGAGGGGGGACTTTCTAAAAATGGTGTTTAGGTTGGTAATTGGGAAAAAAGAGGATTTAATCTAGGAAGAGCTGCATCAGCTTTACTAAATCTCTTCTAATAACCCTATTTGGAGATAGTTGCCAGTCAAAGGATGTGTACCTTAGTACTTGACAAACAATCCCCTTTAGGTTGCCATGGAAAATACGGATATGGTTGCACGGGAGTCCTGGGTCTGAGTAGAGGCGTTGGCTGGACCACAGGCTCCTGTCTTTCGTTCCCGGTCTTCTTGTAGCGGTTGTTGTACATGGTGATTTTTCGCGCCAGTTCAAGAGCGGAGCTGATTCTCTTTTCATTACGGCTCCTTGGTGCTGGAGACGCACAATCTACAGACAAAGCGATAGCGTGTGCGGTGAATAATACGAAACAGCAGAGTACTGATGGGTAATAGACCACTTTCATAAATGGCTGCCGGATTAATATTCTTTTGGCCTTCTACTGGCCTCGTTCTCCAGTACAAAATTCAAAAGAATACATTATCTCAAGCAAAATACATTATCTCAAACAAAAGAATATTTATACGGCAGCCATTTATGAAAGTGGTCTATGACCTTGTGAGACATCCTTTTTATAAATTATCATAAATTACTGGCGTTGTAAAACATTTCCACATCAATTACCATAAATATCTGACTTTGAAATACATTCTCACATAAATTATTATAAGTTACTACAGCATTATTGTCATTGACGCAACTTATCATTACAACTGCACTGACGAAGTTTACGTCACTTTTAACTTACCAGAGCCTTTTTCCAACTGCTTTGCCAAATAAGACACCGTGAAGTGTCCCTCCTCTTCGCTTATTTCAAATTCTTGAGGATGTGCGGGGCTGGCGACAGACCAGCGACTCAAACTAGCAGAATAATGTTCGAATTAAGATCAAATGACATCAGGCCTATTGGAAATGTTCACATACCCTACTTCGTACTTAGACTTCTCCTACCATAAATAGAATGAAAAAAGAGAACAAGCGCGCAAAAGTGGAAGGGACTCATAACATTCCTTTTTTTCCAATAGGTTCTTTGCGCTTTTNAGTTCTGACAAGTGTGCGGTGAGAAGATTTGCCTGATCGCAGACACATTTGCGTTATGCTGTGAAGTACCCGCTCATGAATATGGGGGTATAAGGGATGGCCTGGGCGAATTTTACGAATAAACCGCTCGCACGTAGCTGCGCGGCGCGCAAATAAAAATATTAAAAATATTTTAGAATGTTAGGAAACTTTGGCATAGGAACATCAAAGAAGCAATCAACAACCAAAAATTGAATGAATATGAAATGAGAGTTGGACGATGCACGACAAATTTGAAAATAGCATTCTTGGCTTTTCACGATATGTACTAAGGTTCAATTTATTCTTGGTTCAAAATTCTTTCTTTCCGGGGTGGTATTATAGTGAGCACGAGAACTGGACTGTGGGAATTGCCGGTTACACTTAAAGGCGAAGTTTCCGGGAACTGAGGAGGCAGAGGAAAAATTGAGGTTAGCTCAAGAACACAGCACAATGATTTACTAACAGATCGATACGAGACCGCTTAGTCAGCGCACAAAACTGAACATGACATCATAAGAGAGATGAGTCACCTTTTGACTCTGTTACCAGCACACCACTCATCATGTAAGCATTAGTGACTGCTTCCAGGTAATCATGCTGTGGGGAAACCACAATTCATTTTTTTTAAGAAGGCTCACGAGTTTTCAAAAGAGATTTCAACTATCAATAAATACTTTTACTATATATACTGCGTTGTTTTACAAGGAATTCCACCCCTCGGTGAGAAAAGTCGTCACCGCACATGTGTAAAATTACGATAATAATTTACGTGTGTTTGTTATCATCAATCACGCCACTCTATCATGCTGATGAATGGATGGCAAAAAGTTCACCATTCTCAATCCAAGGTCGTTTGTCAAATTTCTTGTCAGTAAAGATTGCTTGTAGATATGGAATTTCTCTTCTCATGCTAAGATATCGAGTTGAAAACCGACTCGAAGAGAAATTCCACATCTACGCGCACCCATGTATCATTCTATTTTGATATTAACAATTTGACGATTTTTCACAAACGTTACTGCCTTAGTTCCCAACCCCCACTCATTCCCCTATTTTTCCTTTCTGACACTGCTTTGGTACTTACCCTACTTGCAGAACCATCCAACCTCACTGAGCACACTGGTGTACACGATCTGCTGTTGTTTTTGTGCTCATGCTTCCGTGGCTGTGGATTGTCTAACTTCATCCGCGCAGAACTGGGCAGAGCAGACCGCTGGACAACATTAAACACAATGTTGAATTAAAATTTTTATGTTTTCTACGAGCTCAAGAAATGGTTCAATCTAACCCATAATAAGCAAGTCTGAATATCTTCATTTTTATTAACAAATTGAGCTCCAGTCTCCGACAAACTACTAAGCTTTGGAAACTTTTGAAACATGCCAAGGAGGGTTCTACGAGTATCTGACGCGCAAACAGAATATTGAAGATAAAAATCATAAAGATGAACCTGGCATGAAGTTCAGTCATCCGTTACCTAGACCCTCAAAGAGTTTAAATTACCTAACATATCCACAGGAGTGTGATTTCTGTCACCAGAACTGCCAGTAAGAGTTTCAAATTTTAGAAAATAACGCAATTTTTTGCCTACAACTCACTTTTGGGTGATGCTTCTGGTACACTAACTTAACTTCTGTTCGTCGGTCTTGGTTTTCCTAAAAAGACGGAAAATATAAATGGCATCAATACTCTGAAAGGAGAGAGAGTTGCATCAATGACCCGTATAAAGAAATTTTCAAAGGAGAGTCGACAGTGATCCGGGATTGCATTGGTTTTGCATAAATTCTCTCTATAAATAGTCCAGAAGACTAGTACCACCCTCTCGACCAATCAGATTCGAAACTGATAGCAACCACGACTTGGTCACCCGTGTTTTCCCGCGCTTTGTCACCTGTTTTTCCTGCGCTTTGGTCACCTTTGTTTTCCCGCGCTTTAGGCAGTTTACTTGTTTTTACTTTGAGTTCTCATTAGCTCCTTGTGGTATCGTCCTTTGTTGTGATTGGTTGTTTTCATTTATTTATTTATTTATTTTTTTAATCTAGTTTCATATTGACAAACAAATGACAATTACATCAATCGATTGATCAATCTGAGATAGGCTTAAGACAGAATACAAGACTCCTTAAAAATAAGCCACCTATTATAACAACATAAAATTAAAAAATCTATATCAATCTACATTACAACTAACTACGACCATACCTCAAAGTTCAAACTCTGTTCTAAACTTATCATAATAAAACGCCATTAGTTTCTTACGAAAAATTGACAAGGTATCTGTCTCTCTTATACTGATATGTAATTCATTCCACAGGCAACAAATCCGAATAAAAAAAGAATTCTTAAAAGCGTCAGTCCTGCTGAAAGGGACATCAAGCGTTAAATGAACGACGTTTCTCAGCGGCTTAATACAAGAACGAAACGATACGTAATCTAAGACATTTAACTTATTTATATTCTTAAAACGCTTAAAAAAGAAAACTAAATCATTAATTTGTCTACGACAATGCTAAGGCAATAAATTTAATTTACTAAGACGCTCGTGTTCAGAATAATTCCGACCAAGAATAAATCTTGTAGCCCCGCGTTGGACCTGCTCTAAAATGCTGATGTTTCGTTTCGTATGAGGTGACCATACCACGCTAGCATATTCAAGGCGCGACCGAACCCAAGTAGTATAGAGCAATTTCTTTGTACTAATATCAGTAATATCCTAACATGTCCGGTAAAGAAGATTACGCAGTTATTGAGCTTTCGAAGAGATGAAATCAGCCTGATTATTCCAACTCAAATTGTGGCTGACCAAAACCCCTATGTCTTTCTCAACATCAACACAATCTAACTTAGTTCCACCAGGGTAACAGTCCCTGTCATTGGTTGATCTAATACGAGCCACCCTTAAAACTTTACACTTCTTGGTATTAAACTCCATACCCCAGATACGAGACCACTGAAATAACTGATTCAAATCATCCTGCAATTTCTCACCGTTATCCCGTCTAAGGATTAGGCGAAAGCACTTAGAGTCATCAGCAAAAAGGGGTAACGATGTTTCTTTGGAAATTACATTGGGCATATCGTTGATAAAAATCAGGAACAGCAAAGGCCCTAGAATTGACCCTTGTGAGACTCCAGATGTTACAGGGAGGAAATCAGAGGACTCGTTATCTATCACAACTCTGTGTCTTCTACTAGTTAAATATGACCTAAACCAAGTCAACAAGGATCCGCCAATACCAAGACATTGTAGCTTGAATAGGAGTTTTCCGTGAGACAGTCGATCGAAAGCCTTAGAAAAATCTAACTTGTTGTCTCCCTTCAAGAGCAATAGCAAATTGACGAACAACTTAGGATAGTTCAGACACGGTGGATTTTCCTGGTAAAAAACCATGCTGCCAGTGAGTAAGATGAGGCCAAATAATACCAAAGACCTCATTATAAACTTGTCTTTTCAAAATTTTAAATAGAACATCAAGAAGCAAAATGCCACGGTAGTTTGAAACCATCATCTTAAACTCGCTTTTATGAATAGCGAATACTTTGGTTTTTTTTTAAGGCACTCATTCGAAATGTGGTCCAACTGAGCATTCTAATCAGAAGATACAAAGGTCAAAGGAAACAAGTCAATCGCAATTTCATGTCACTCACCTCAGACCGTGTCGCAACATCAGCCAGCAAAACGTCTTTGACTTTCATAGCTTTGGCTCGCCGCTTGTTCCGTTCCTTTCTCGTCTTCAGCTTCTTCTTTCGTTGCTCTTGGTCAGCGTACTATTTTAATCCATAATACAACAGTACTAAGGTTAAGATCATTTCAATTTGTGTAGGCCAGCAATAGTCCCTTTACAGTTGTGGGCTTGGTGGCCAAGCCTTTGAACAGGAGTGAGGCTAAGGGTGACCCTGTTGTGATAAAGACCTGTTTCTAGTTAGCATGATAACAAAGTAATTTGCATTTGAAAAGCAGCAACATCTCTATCATAACAAGGTCACCCTTAGCCTCACTCCTGTTCAAAGTCTTGGCCACCAAGCCCACAACTGTAAAAAGGACTATTACAAGATGATCCTCCATCACTTGAGAGACTTACCATCTTCAGTCCTTCAGGAGCATAGATAAGATGCATAGGCAGACCATCGGACATAGAACTGTCTGAACCGCCGGTGCTGGAAATAAAAAAGGAAGAAAACACAAGTTGAAATACCCATTGTTCCTTCTTTTGGGTGAAATAAGAGACGAGCAAATTTCAAGTGAGCGTCAATAATAATCCCAGAATGCAGTGGTTGTCGGTCATCAAGTTCTGTGAATGGTCTGGAAAACACGCACCACCCTCTAAGCCAATCAGATCCAAGACTTGAATCATTCACGACTTATCGCTCGCATTTTCCCGCGCTTTATGCCTGTAGAAAACCCATCCAGGCCCGGTGAACTTTATCTTTCCCGGATTAGCTATCCCGATCACTTAAGATTTGCTTATACAACACACGTAGACCCGTGAAACTTATCACAAACTCAATGACTATAGCAGCATCCAAGACGGTGACGAGCCGATCAAAAGTTGTGTAAAGTGCAGGAAAAGTCGCGTGAGGTGATGGACACGCGACGACTGCTTCCTCTGATTGGCTAGGTTCGGCATCTGATTGCATAGGTTGAGCCAACATTCCCAGAGGACATTGCTAGATACAGGTTTTCAGACAACACTTACCTCGATTCGATATCAGAAGTATAATTGAGGTCAAGATCTATGTCAGACTCAGTTAAGGTGGGGGCCGCAGTGCCTTTGCGCTTCATCCTCTCCAATATATCCGCCTTCATTTTCAACTCCAGCTCTCGTAAGATAGTTACATACTGTGAACAAGACAAAGTCAGCATTAGTAAGAAGATTGATCGACCATTGGTCTTTTTGATTATTGGAAGGGATTCGATCAAACCTAGGTACCATAAGGGAACAGTGAAGCGGTAAAATTAAAATACCAGGGTTGAACTATGGCCGAAGTTAGAAAACAACGATACACAATTGGTGACATGCGGAGATGACGACCTCTTACCTTTGATTCATCAGGATCACAGTAATCCAGTAAAGTATCACACAAGTGATATCCCATCGACTCAAAGTCCGCTGTGTTGAAATGATAGCCGGCGCGTTTACCTATTAACGAACCACAGAAAGTAGCCTGCAGAGAAAAAACAAAGCGAGTTAAAAAAAACATCCTCAACACGTAAAACCTTTTGGGCGATACATAACAATAGTTTGAGCAACAAAGAAAATTAAACTTTAAATGAAAGCAACACTCGAAATAAAAAATCCAAAGAATAATTAAACAAGATCAAAAACATCTTCAATATTTAAAACCTTTAAGGAGACACATCATGACTTATTGAATCCTTTAGCCTGAAAGAAACCTAGTAAATGAAAGGAAAACTCGCAATAACAGTGTGATGGGAAGCTTTAACTCGCAATAACAACAAGCTTTTAACAAGCTTTTAACTCGCAATAACAAGACGGGAAGGAATACACCAAAAACGAAAAGTATTTCTGGTACTTTCTCAAGCCACGCGCACCCAAAAAGAGTTCAGAAAAAAATGAGAAGGCAGAAAAAGTGAGACATTTCGCTCGTGACTGAGCAAGAAGTTTCAATCTCACCTCCATGGTAAAACTGTTCAAAATCCCCATATGCCACATAACAATCCGACCAGTTCCTTCCTGTAAGGAAATAAAAATTGTGTCAATTAATCAATGTCTAACTATCTGTCTTCTCCGGTCTGTGAGTCTGTTTGAAATTCTCTATGTCTAGCTGTGTGTCTGTCTGCCGAGCCGCCTGTTTAGTTGTCTGTCTTCTTATAAGTCGACGCCCAGCCTTCCTGGAGAGGGACAGACACTGCCAAAGACAATGGTCCTGTCAAAGAACGTAGCACAGATGAGTCCTGTCAGTTTTTTAACCCAGTCATATCAACAGGGAGTCCGGCGCAACACAAAAGTCAAATGTCTTCCCGTCCTCAGTTCTCGCTCCAGGAGGTGGGAAGATGAGAGACACTAGGAACGAGGTTGATCAAACGTCTGCGCTTGCGCAAACGTCTGCGCTTGCGCGAACGCCTGCTTTCAGACTACAGAACCAAGTTGTCTTATAAACAACCGAACAAACGAGTAAGTCGCGGTTTTTGAAAACTCTATAACTTTTTTGATAAAGCTCAAAACAAAATGGTAAATCGGCAGGAAACCATTGATTAAAGAAGCTTTGTGAACGAAAAGTCTTGAGTTTCCTTTCCCCTACTCTTGTTTCCTTTTACAGATTTAAATGAACGTTTGAATGTTATTTTTTTTTGCATATTTCGCGCTACAGTGGTTGGCGCGCACCCAGCCAAAATGTGTCTCCTTGAACATGCCTTATGTTTGACTGCTGTGTTCTCCGGCGCACTCAGTGTGTATCCGACTAGGAATGGAATGCAAATGTCACAAAATCGTGGCCAAACCGGCGTACTCTTATCATTTACAAACCTTGCTTTTCTGCACTTTGAACTTGCAACCTTTAAATGAAAACTGCAGGAAAAGCACAACAAGTATAGCTTACAGAGCTCAAAGCAAACAAAAAAGACATTGCTTAAATAAGCCCAAAGAAGATAGGAAACACTTCAATCCTAAAGATTCTCCAATCAATTTTCACTGACTTATCGGCACTTAAAAATAAAATTTGTTACCAAAACGTTTGCATAATTTTAATTACTAATCCCAATTTGTACTTATTCTCGACTCAAAGGGGATGGAGATTGATAAAAAAAGAATGAAATGGTCATGTTGCGAGGTATGCTGGGAAGTACGACCTCCCTTGATGCAATGTTTTTTTCTTCAGCATCTTCCTTGTAGGAGCCACTAGGATGAGCAGTCAGCGTCCCAGAGTCTATGCAGCGGCGTTTCCCGCCATAAACCAGCGCGTCTGCTACGCTTCGCGAATGCTTCCCGCCAAATCATGCTGCTTCTCTCAGAAAACCTTTGAACCTTGCCACAGCTTATAAGTCCTAACGTGAATCGAAATTGTTCTCCCTACAAGACGTCTTACTTTAGCTTTCCCTCGTTCAATAACTTTACCTCCAGGTTTTAGAAACGATGAACATTACTGTAAAACAGTTTAATCCTGGCATCGCACCTTGCTTGGAGCATTTTTAGAAACCATCACAGGAAACACTCTTTCTCTCAACCTCTTCAGAGGGTCGAACCGATTTTCACAGCCATAAATGAACACATTCTGCTTACGACTGTGTCCGTGGAGATCGCAGTATAGTGTTATGTCACGTTCCCCTAATAATCTGCATTAAAAAAAAAAGAACAAAAGGCCCGGCATGTTATGACTTGATAATTTGGTTTTACAAACTGAGTTGATAAATAAATGTAATCAGGCCACCATAAAGAGTTTTCAGCGTTAGTTAAATTCGCTCTGACGAAGGGCTAACGCTCGAAAAGTCAGCAATTAGAAACTTTTTGCGGTGGCCAATTTACTTTATCAACTCAGTGAATAAAACCAAATTATCCTGTAACACACCCCCACCAACGCATTTGTTTCGGAGACTTGTGTGTTGATCCTATAGGGAGGGTCTCAATGAGGTGATAGCTTTTACAGCTGACGCCTTAAATTTTGGCCAGTTCACGTCTAATGGTTACAATCTTTACATTGTGGCCAACAGAATTTTTTTCTTTTAACGTTTAACTTTATCTACGAGTAACAGTTAAAATTTGACAGTTTTCACGCATAACGGCTTACTGTTTTTGCCGTTGTACAGCCAGCTGTTAAACCCGTTGACGGAGACCTTATATCGGCTGCGATACTCGATACGTTTCCATTAGTTGTGTGTCGTTATTTGTCGGTAGAGTTAAGTCTTTTTGTTTCGTTCGCCTTTCGCGCTGAACCCTCTCTCCTTCCCTCCCCGTGAAACCCCAACTACGAAACGCCCGATCACGGGTTAGATCAATATCAAATGGTGAATTTGTAAAAGATATCTCTAGTCTGGAGCTTCTTACTTGCGAACCATATTCCTGACATGCCAGATGGGAGGGAACGAATCTTTCAGCACTGTCTTGTAATTCCTGTTCAGGTCCCTCCCGGCCAGCGAACACCGATAGTTACCAACCACCACTCCGTCAGGATTTAACATGGGAACAATCTTGAAAATTAACATGTCTCGGAGGAGCTACGAAGCAATATAAGGGCTATGAATAATAACTGAAATGACTTTTTCCACCGATACCAACCAAACGGCAATTTTCCAGCAGGTGTCGAAAGAATTCTGTGATTGCATTGGTTTTGCTTAAAGGCTCTGTGATAGGACCAGAAAATCCGCGGCATTCTCGCAGCCAATCACATCCAAACCCTGATACGTTTTTCCCGCGCTTCAAACAGTTGTCATGTATCTTCTCTTTTCTGATTGGCCGATGTGAATATGCATTTGATTTACGACACTAAATCCAGGGACAAACACTCTATATACTAGGACGTTGAAGATCTCAAAAACTGAAGATTTCCCGGTAGGGTGGAATAAATCGCAATTATGGCATCAAAGTCTATGAATTCTCGTTGTCTCCTTCTTCAGCCGATAGGAGTCAATCAAAACGTACCCCAAAGAGGAAAAACACAAACCTTTGCGTCAGCAGCATTGCTTGTTAGATAATCTAACAGTCCTTTCATCATCCAACTTGAGTTTGTCTCTCCGGGGTGAACTCTTGCTGTTACTACCACTCCTTGTTTGGCCTGTGATCAAGTAAACGAAAACATACAATAAAGATAAGTCTTCAAACGAGACTGACTCGCATGGCTGGCGAAGCTTATCTCAGTTTCTGTGGCAGACTGTCGCCCCTTCTCATAGTCGGGATTTTAATTTGCCGCTAATACCCCCGCCTCCCCTCTCCGCCCCGTAAAACTGTTCGTTCGTCACGTTTCAAGCGCTGTGTTAACGCAATTCAGGCTCACCCTCGAACAAGCGCCGAGTGCGAGAGCAAAAATATTAATAAGCACTAACGCAGGAGGGAACAGTAGCAGCATCAATATAGAAGATTCAGGCTCACAATTGCTTAAATTTCATTCCATACCTCAGCATCAGCTGGTCTTCTTGATGGATTCGTGACGGTGAGTGTGTAAACAAAGTTGCCGGCAAGAGTCCGGCATAACATTCTTTGTTTACATATCCGTGATCGCACTGGGTCATTTCTCAAGTTTTGAAGATGTTCCTGGAAGAAGAAAAAAAATATATAAAAAAGCTGAAGTATGTCTTGCTCTTGAGAGTCGGTCAGTCAGTCAGTCAGTCAGTCAGTCGGTCAGTTAGTTAGTCATTAAGCTACACAGTCAGTTGCTCGGTTGATCAATGAATCAGTCTATCAATCAATCAATCAATCAATTAGTTAATCAAACTTTTGGTCCACCAGTCGTTCAGTTGGTTCGCCATCCGATCTGATGATCACACAAACAGTTCGCCTCTCTTTCAGTTTGTCAATAAATCCTTCCTTCATTAACTGTTTCACTCCCCAAGTCAGGTGGTCACCCTAAAACTATTTAACCAGTTCAACAGTCATATTTTCAATCACTTCAGCATTTCCTTGAATAAAGCGCGCAGGCGCTTGTTCAAAATCTCGGCTACAAGTAGGGGTGCTTTTTAGAATAAAACTTTAGATATAAAACTTTAGGATAAAACTTTAGATATACGCCGTTTAGATCTGTGACAATTGTATTTCTTATTTTAGCTTTTAATACTTTTTATTTTTACGGAGGACCTCCCTGAAAACCACGTACTTACGTGACGGGCGCTTCCTCCTTAAAGATTGTTTATTATTATTATTATTATTATTATTATTATTATTATTATTATTATTATTATTTATAGAAGAAGGACGCTTAATCGAGGGGGGCATTTAATAAGAAACCATTAACCTGTACCGATTCTGCTGTAGTTTAAACTTAAAAAGTTATAAATAAGATGGCAATAGAAACAGTTTTTTTCCTTGTATTCCTACTATTTAAGAAAGTGAGGGGGGGTGCTTGTTTGATATTATATGGCCAAGGGGGTTGGGCGAAGCGCTTATTTGAGGAAAAAAACCTCATTACCCACTGCCTTTGTCTTTAAACCTGTTTTTCAAATATGCATTATCAACAAAGCTTTGTATAATGTGGGTAGGTCACTGAAAATAAATGGTACGAGTTAAATAACACATTCTTTTTGTGAACATCTCTGAGACATCTGCAAGTATTTTAATGTTATTTAATGTTAGCAATTAACTTACGGATCCTACATGGCGTAAAAGACACAGTTGGCATAGAAAACACAGTTGATGCAAAACAATAGAGAACAAAAAGATAAAAAACAACAAGGTAAACAATCATAAAACAATAGGTAACTGATAGAGGCAGTGCTCTATTGTAATGTGTCCTGTTTCTTCTACACCAAGAAGGAGCCCAACTGACCTGCAAGTCCGAATAGGTGTAAGGATAACAGTGAGCAAAATAACATGTGTCACTCTCATTAGGAAATTCACAAGTCCATGTAAACGAGTAATGGTACTTCTCTTTTGTTGTATCTTCACGCCTGAAATAACGAACAACAATTGATTGACTGTTCATATAACAATATGCTACCTTTCTATAATATCGATCAAGAAATGGTTAGATATTCTAGTCTTCTCGGATAGGGACGAATAAATGGAGGTCCCGTCTCCTGCATCTACTTATTAGTTAATTTGGTTAGGCAGAGGACGCTAAAGAACCCACGTCACGAGATTACTGTGATGTGGTCTGGCCTGGTTACTGGGAATTGGGGGGAGGGGGCATCTGTTATATTCACCTTCATTTGATTGTAAACTGCTTAGCAGTCTGGTAAAGTCCCCCGCACAGTGTTGTAAAGCGCCATGAGTTCAAGATATGAGCGCTATATAAATACAAATTATTATTATTATTATTATTATTATTATTATTATTATTATTATTATTATTATTATTATTATTATTATTATTATTATTATTATATTACTTCAAAGGTTGTGTGTTTCAGGGACATTTAGAGGCAACAGTGAGTTTGCGTCAATGATAAACTAGGTTATAGTCTGTAATGGGCTTAAGATGAGTTTTTGGAGGATTACTGTTGTTAGTGTTGCTCATAGGAGATGCTTCTCGATAGGTATTTTAAAAAATAGAAATTATGTGTGGTTTAATACTAAAAGTAGTTAGGTTTGTAGGAGATGCAGTATTGTTTCTACCAGTTGAATTACACCATAATACAATATTAATACGAAAGACCTGAGCAACAAATGTATTCTCTAATGTTGGCTGTAATGATTGTAGATCAAAGGCATTTACAGAAGATAACACATGAAGAGAATTTGGGCTTTAAAACAGGGCTCAAACCACCCCTCCCACAGACCTCCTGTTGGACACCACTTACAATTGAGATTACAAAGCTGTGATGTGATTGGTTTCAAGGTGAAGGTAATAAAAGTCTGTGCTCAAACGAAGTGGCCCATTTAGGCAGAGCTTATCCCAGTTTCCAAGGCTATGGTCTAGCAGCACCCGGTGGCCCCTGGGGCTAATTACTTTTGCTCTTGAGTGACTCAGGAATCTTAGTTTTTTCATAAAAAGCATATGCTGGGCACCCTGGATTTCACAGCTTCAGAGCACTCGACTCCCTTCAATTTTTTCTTAGAACAGAGCCTTGGTTTGCATTGAATGAAGTGACTGTGAGCGTTACTACCCCCCCTCCCCTCCCCCAGATGGGATACCAGTCCATTGCATTAGGTCACCGCATAGTATTTCATAAAGCTTCCCTGAAAATTTACCAGTATCCACATATACTCTGTGTTATCAAAGTGTTCCTCCCAAGAACACAACTCAATGACCCACTCAGGTCTTAAACCTGGGTGGCTCCAAGACTTTTGAACCTTGAGTCCAGCTGACACATATACCTGTACAGTTAGGTCACCACTGCTCATAACCATTGGTTTAAAAGTATTGATAAATTGAATAAGGGGATGAATGTGTTCTAGCTAGAATTAAAAAGTTAAAAAAACTTGTTTTCATGGCCTCACACTTCACCTTTTACATATCACCTCTTACTAACCACCTCCCGGTTAGCTCAATGGATAGAGCGCTGGACTGTCGTGCAGGAGGTCGAGGGTTTGAGCCCCGGCCGGACCAACACTCAGGGTCTTAAAATAATTGAGAAGAATATGCTACCTTTCTATAACATCAAGAAATGATTAGACATTCTAGTCTTCTCGGATAGGGACGAATAAATGGAGGTCCCGTCTCCTGCAGGGTTAGGGGTAGGAGACGTTAATTTCCCACGCACGAGATTACTGTGTGATGGATGTCCTCCCCTGAGGTGGGACGGGTGGGTAACAGGACCCCCATTGATACCAGTGTTTACTACACTGAAGGGGCTATCCTGTATAAATATAGATGTCTACTCTACTCTACTCTANCCAATTACTAATTAGTAACAGGAAAAGGAAAAAAAACTGTGGCCTTACTTACTTGATCGCATTCTTGTAGTACTTTATATTCTTTCCAGTTCTGACCCAGCCAATTTTCTTTGTTGCTGCATCCAGTTCGGAGTAAAACAAAGGCCTCATTCCTTCATTATACAAGCTGCCAGACTAGGCCAAACAAATATCCATAACTAAGAATGAGTTAAAGGCCATTCACAGTTATATACATTAGTTACCATTAGTTCAGTTTCACAAAATCAAAACCAAAGTCTGTAATTTCAAAGGATAGTCCCTTACTTTAAAGAGATTCATTATGGTAAACTTGTATTGAACAGCTGGTCTGGTGTTCTGTACTCTGAAGTAATACCACTGTGTGTGTTTGTTGGTGTACAAATCATTTCTAAGCCATAGCTGGTACTCAGAATCATTACTACAAGGAAATAGTAAAAATTTCAACTAGGTAATCAACAATAAATGAACAAATACATTCAGCTGAATGAATTTTAAAGTTTCAAGTTAGTAACTGGTAGGTATATTTTACTTACACTTTCACTGCCCTCAAGAGATTTCCACATTCAAACCGAGATTCAAATAGCAGAGTGGAGTCCTCCGGAGACTTAATCTTGTAAAAAGGTTTGTTGGAAATCTGGGTGCCACCTACAGGTGACCTGAGAAACTGGAAATAAAAAAAACCGCACAAAGAGACAATCAAGGAAGTAAATTAAGAACACAATCAAAAGGATTAAAATTTTCTACACACTCAGAGACATTTATTCATTACAAAAACTTACATATTTTTCAGGCCCTGGTTCATTGTTATATACAATTTTACCCTCTTCACAAGGTAACTTTGTTAGACTTTCATCATCTGCTGTCTTCTCTGAAAAGTAAACAAAAGAAAACTTTAGGTTACTTTACTTACAGAAGGTTCTAAATTATAACACTAACACAAAACCTGAGAGACACCATGCATCATGATTCCTGTTTGCCTTAAGGCTGTTTTTTCGATCAATAGTCCATTTTACAGTTGCATCTTTAGTTGCCAAGGCTAAGGGTGACCTTGTTATGATACAAACATTTTAAATGTAAATTACTTTCAATACTTTCAATTGATATAATGCTAACTGGATACTGGTCTCCTTAACAACAACGTCACCTTCAGCCTCACTTCTAATTAAAAGCTTGGCAACTAAGAAAAACACAATTGTAAAATGGCCTATTAAATTCTAGAGAAAAGTTCACTTCTCTAACATCTTTTAATGTGAAGTTTATATTCAACTTTTACAGGTTTGTTGCCATAATTAAAATCATTGTAGCCGGAGTCCTCTGTATAGCAAACAGCAAACAATCTTTTAAACTGACAGAAGTCTACAGTCACATACATTAATTTTGTTATTTCTTGCAAATCCCTCTTTTAATTCATTACTTATTTTATGTTTACTAATTATTTCTTGCTACTTTAACATTATTTAAATAGTTTACATATAAGATTACAAACCTGGCTTAATGAAAGCTTCTGGATTTCTTGGAATTTGCTGTATGTGTTTGGGCGTTGTTGGCAAAATCTTCATCTGATATGGCCTGCCATAATATAGATTATTAGAAAAAACACCAGTTTTAAGAGAAATCAAAAGTTAAATTAATCAATGTGCATAACAAGTTTGAACTCTGCTCATAATACCCAGCAGGTATATCAAATATTGACAATTTTATAAAACTACCATTCATAATCACAGAGAAAATAACCTTATATACTAGACCGTTCTATTTGTAGCACATTTTTTTCATTCCTTACCATCTCGGAGAAGACTGTTGTCCTTTGTCTTTACTGAATGCATACAAATTTCTAGGTTCTCTAAGTTTTGGAACCTAACAAGATTAATCACAACTTGTAATGAGGTTCAACCAAAAACACAGATTCTACAAGCTACAAAATTATCTTAAATAATACATTATTTTATTACATGACTCGGGCAGTCAGAGGGCCAATAACTAAAATCAACCAATCAAAATGCTCTATTGCCAGTCAATATTCTCTCAGTATTGGACCGGGCACTGTCCCGAATGGTC